ATACTCCACCAGTGAGGTATACCCCTAGTCATATTTACCTACGTAAATACCTAGTTGTATTTACAGAAATAAATTATTCCTTTATTTAGCTTAATAAGCTATTCATAATTCAGAGTTTTGCAGTTTCAAAGTTCTTGCCCATGCGTTATCCCATGTGGTACACAGAAGTGCTCTGCAAGGTAGGTTCTATCATGCATCTACAGAACGGAAAACTAAAGCTCAAAGAAGTGACTGTGTCAGGTGTCACAATAGTGGTAAGGCAGGGTCTTCCAAGTCCAGAACACTTCAGAGCCCTCTGTGTTCTCTGGCTGCCTTGGATGGAGCGGGCAGGACCAGGAGTCTCTGGGAGTCATCAACAGAGTGGAGCATGGCAAGTGTACCCACTTGTACTCCAGAAGCTAAAGGAACACCAATTCATTGCCCAGACTCTTAAGAAAATTATAATGTGGACCATTAACTGATTCCCCTCCAATCATTTACTGGTTGGTTTTATTTCTCTTCTCTGAAGTCAGTTAGAGGAAGAGGGAAGTCAGGCAGTCAGGAGGAAGAGAGGTACCAAGCCTCCTGTAAAGAGATCACTCATATCACACACTCATGGGTGCACATCTTCTTTAAATGGATGTATTATTTGGGCTTTTTCTTAAAACCATATTATTGCAAAGAAATCTAAATATGTTTTCAACCCACTTACTGAGATATTAGAACTTTTGATTTTGGGACAATGGAAACTAAAACCAATTTCAAATTCCAGCTCAACAAATCCCTAGCTATAAGATCTGGGAGAACAACTGAGCTTTATCAGTTTTAGACATGGGGTGGTCTGAGCCTCAAAACAGTTAATTAGGAGTCCCCCCTCCCTCTTAATAGGTTTATCTTTTTAATTTACTTGTGCTCTTTAGCATCTCAAAAGGAAACGAACATTTTTAAAATACCAAAGCAATAGCCTTGCTATTTTTAATTTTTGACCAGAATAGCTCCTAAAATCTACTTTGCTTTCTAAATAAATATAGCATTGAGCAAATTTATAAAACACATAACAGCATCTCCAAGCACATAGATGACCACAGATGTAGCTACTTTATTTATGCTGAGAGCAAGTACTCAGAATTACTCAAGCGCTTTTGAACTTCATTGGGGGATGGAATCAGGTAGACAGCTTTATTAGAAGTGAGGATCATGGCTCTCCAGACCTCCCCTGCATTTGAACTTTGCCCTTAGCCTACCTACCCCCCAGAACAAAACCAAAACAGGTAAGGTCTCTGCTTCCCATTTCCAGAAACTATGATACTCTGATATGTATTATCTGTTAACGAGTATCTGACAACTGAGATTTATCTGGAAAAAAAAAATCTCAGTATACTCTTAAGTAATGGGTTCCTAAAATGGATTGGCTTTTTTTTTTAACTTTCAAAAGTCAACTTTAAATTACATAATATGTGAATATACTAAAAAAAATTACAGCAGCCATTCCATAAAAAGCCCTGTCCCTCCTACCCCTTCTACCCAACACTCTTCCACCACACACCAAGATGACCACTGCAAGGACTTCAGCACAGCAACCCTCTCCTTTTAAAAAGCTTTTATATATGTAAGCATTAAACTGCTATTTCTCTAGTTTAACTATATGAAGGTACAGAAGGAAACTGGAGTCACCTACATCCTCTATGGAGCACTCCCAGCTCTGTCAGCTGCCAGCCCTGCCTCAGGTGGGGGCATGCAGCATGAGTTGGAGCGTTGTCACCATCTAACCTGGAATTTGACAAATGTGAACTTGATCAATGAGGATTTTGGTCAAGTTTTGTCCCTTTTCTATTTCATCTCTTTCTCAATTGTCTGACCTGGTAAAAGCCCATCCAAATGGGATGAGGAAGGAAGGGACCATTACAGCCACACCCGCTCCGGACAGTTGAAATGTTCTGTTGTTCCTTTGGGCATTAAGTCTATTGCAGGGGCACGGTTAGGTGGGTCAAAAGGAAATCATTTCTTCCTATTCCATACCTCGCGCATTAAGAACCACCAGCACACTTGTGCTTTGCAGCCATACAAGTTCCTGGTACTCACCACTTAAACCTGAGGAACAGCTTTGACACTGGGTCATTCAGTTTCGTGAAAGGCACCTGGAACTTCTGTTTCAACTTTTTAAAAAAATATTTTAGTTGTAGATGGTCATAATACCTTTTATTTTTATGTGGTGCTAAGGATCAAACCCAGTGTCTCACATGTGCTAGGCAAGCACTTTACTACTGAGCTACAGCTACAGCCCCTCAACTTTTGTGTTTGAAAGTTGGTGCCCTGCGTGGAGCTTAGAAGTCATGTAATTATATAAAAGACAAAAAGGTAATAAATGTTTTCAAGCAAGCACACAAAGCTTCGTGTGTGTATGTGTGTGTGTGTGTGTGCACTCTGCAGTGCCAGAAATCAAACTCAGGGCCTCATGCATGCCAGGAAAGCCCTCCACCACTAAGCAGCATCTCCAATCCCTGGCAAAGCTGCTTTTATCCACAAACTGCAACTAATTCTTAAGAAAGCAGCCACTATATATAATGCTATTTCTGTGAGCTCTGAATTTCAACTAGAGACACCAGGAACGGACCTTTCCAACAGCTTGTTCCACCCACAAGCTCTCCCTACAATTCTCTGCACCCTCAACGGAATTAACACAAAGCACAAAAACCAGGAACAAAGTAATTGAGACCCAGAGACGCACCCTCCTTGGGCATGGACCCTGGAGACTTGGCTTCTGGGGAAGAGAAGGGATTTACCTCTAGGGTTCCACTGGGAGCCAAATAGATGCTGATCAGGCTCTCCGCTGGAGGTAGCCAACAGTACAGTTCCAGAACAGCATCAAGGGCAGCAGGGGGCATTTGGTGGTGTTCATACCAAGAAGAGGAAACAACACTAAGTAGCATGGCAGGTTTAAAGAATGTTTATTTCTTGGGATAAGCACATAGCCCACTTTTTGCCCTTGAACTTTTTACTAAAGACAAAAACTACAGTGAAATAAATATGGAAAGCCAGCCTAATATTTAATATACTGAGTTACTCTGCCTAGAAATTAACATCCTAGCAAATGACTATCAACAAGTAAATTTGTTATTTCAGTGGATCCTAGACTTCCAATAGAGCTACTTTCGCACCTTTAGATAGTAGAGATTCTGTCTCTTGAATATAGCATCCAGTAGTTTATTGGAGTACAACTAGGGGCAGTAGCCTTGCAAAAAACATGGCCCTAAGGCAATGAGGAAAAAGAAAAAGCCCTGAAATTGTTCAGAAATAGAATATTTCTTAAATGTATTCTTCCCTCCACCTCCAGTTTTGGAAAAAAATATGAATCTAGTTTCTCAAATAAGCAATTAATAGAGCACCTCTGCAGGGACAGAAACATCATCTATGGGGGCATTGTCCACAGAATCACTAAAATTCAACCATGAGCAGTCAGCCAGAGCAGTCCTCCTGAGCTGCCTGCCCTAAAGCAGCAGGTCTCATTCTGTATTAATTTAAGGTGATTCCATTAAGAAAAACCCAACTTGGATATACGAAGTTCGTCCGAGTGAGCTTCCAATTGCCTGACTTTAGCTTCTGCAGTCTAATTAATGGGACTCAAATAGTTAGCAGAAAGGAGAGGCATTGATAAAGCCTGTGGGAGACCAACCTTGCACATGACTGAGTCACATTCCTGGCTGGGTGCTGAGGTGTCAGGCAGCATTTTGCTAGACTTTCCCCACCCTTCTTGGGTTCCAGGGGCAGTGTTTGTGCATGGGTGTCTCTTGCTACAGCCCCATGGGTGGAGCTATGCTCACCTGTTCCTTTGTGATATCACCCCTTGCCCTGTCTGGGATAGAATGTTCCATGGAAACACCTTTTGTGTGTCCCCTTCTCTTACCGTGCCCTTGGGTGTGGCCTACCTAGATGTCAGTCAACCTGCTGACAATGGACATCATGAAGATAGACTCAGCCTCCTGAAACCTGACCCCTTGCCTCATTTGAATAGCTTCTCCTCAATAAAAGGGGTCAGTGTGTGCTCACTCACTCTCCCTGCGGACCCTTAAGGTCAGAGGAGCCGTCACAGCAACCCCAAAGAAAAAGGTATTTCTGTCTCTTGTGTGGTTATTTCGCACAGTCCAATTAGACCAGTTCCCCTGGAGTGACTCCTGAGTGTTTTAGTCTCGAACAGAAACCTGGCAATTGGCGCCCAATGTGGGGACAAAAGGTCTGAGTCTTTAAGCCTCTGGGACAAAAGCGACAAAAGCCTCCTTCCTTCACTATACCTCCAATTCAAGTTTCCTCCTGCTCCGTGACTTAAATTAAGAACCACAGGCCAATAGCGCTTTTCTCAACTGATGCTCCTTGCCTGGGTATTCCTTTCTCTTGCAACCACAGGCTCCAGAACCAGAATGTCAGGAAAGCCTTCTCCACTCCGTTAACTGCCCATATTCTACAGATTCTGACTTCAGGGGACTCTTTCTAAGAATGACCTCATTAGCATAATTAAAGGGTACCTGAGCTGTTAAGAGATAGAAACTAACACCTTGTGATGTGAAAAATACATCACACACCATCGCACATATTAACTTGATTAAATTAATGCCATTTTAACACATAATTAGTTCTTTATTATTAAAATCAGACATCATGGGCAAGTAAGTTCCACAGTTTGTGGAAAATCTGAATATATCAAGTAATTAGGTTCAATAAGAAAAGTTCACATGCCTGCAGGCCCAGATTCTTTTAAAATGCTGAATTTTGTTATCAATGAACAAAAATTTAAACTACAATCTGGCATTCAACTTAATTCCTTTACTAGTATTGTTCACCCACTCTAATCATGACCTAATCCTATTGGAAGGATCAAGTTTTTCTAGAAAGTGAAAATTCCCAGTCTAGTTAAAAAAAGAAAATTCAAGCAATCTGAATCAATTTTGCCACATAGTCTGGAGAATCAGTCTGTTTAGTGAGTGATGCATGAAAACAATTAAAGATGCCATTAAAATACAACTTGGTAACCAGGCATTACCTATTTAATTGGTATAATATATATACAGAGTAATCTTAAAAAGCTTCATTTTATACAGAAACATTTACAAAATGAACAGTGTAATTAAATTAAAGATTATCTATACAATGCACACACATATGTCTTCTGGAAGATAAAGGATTTTCATCATCACAGTCAAAATGGACAGCCATATGCATTTAAAAAAAGAATTCCATTTCAGAAGAAAAATACATTTTTAATATTCAATTATATTTTTGTTTTTCTGAAAATTCATGTTTGGATACTTTTTTCAATTGTTTCTCTTGTTCAGCCTTGAAAAATTTCAGGTTTCTAGTGCCACCAACTGGTGTTAGTTTAAAATTAATAATCTCAGTGTTAAAAAATAACATTTTGTTTAAAAAAAAATCTTAACTGAAAAATAGGCTCCTAGAGTCAAAATTCATGAAATATGAATGACAACATGATTTATAAAAATATTTTCACCAGGGTAGCATATATAACATTTATAAAATTAATGGTTGCTAATCGTCTTATTTCCCCGCCCTCTTCTTTCACTGGTAGGTAAATCTTGGTCTAAGTTTGTATGTAGAAAGTGAAAAAAATCCTTAGAAAAAAATAGTATACCACAAAACAAAGCTTGGAAAAATGCGTGACAACAATTAGATTCATCTTTATGAACATCAAATAGGCATTAATAATTTAGTACAATCGTAAAAACCTAATGTCATTTTATGGTGCTCAGATTTTTTTCCTTTTTCTTAGAGACTAATTAAACATTAAACTGTGACAAAAGTCAGGAAATGTGTAGAACCACCATGAAAACAGCAATTTGCTCTCAGTATACCTTTGCAAGGATTCAGTTTTCCAAGTTTCATGGCAAAGTGAAATTTCTCAGCCACCTTCACGCCCAAGTAAAGTAAGCCTCTTCTCAGCCAAGTAGGGCTGGCATAAGCTAAGAGGCCCAAAGGCCAGTTCCTACTGCCTCCCAGCTATTTTTTTTTAGACCATAAGTTCTCTATGAGGATGTTTAATTGCAACATAATACCTATAAGGTAGGTTTACAATGTGTTTATTAAGTGAATAAATAACATGTTTGTAACCTGAATCACTTTAAATGATAATTAAAAACAAAACCAAAAACCACCAAAGTTGAAATTAATTCTTCTGTCCAATTTTTGATCCTTATAACAGATTAAAGTGTATATGGGATGAGAGAATGGGAGTCACAGCAAGTATTCACTTTCAAATCAAAACCTACGAGGTGTACCTACACACACTAAAAATTTCCTGCTCAAAGATACCAAAATATTGCTAACCTAAAGAGCTATTGATGTGTACAATATCAAACATAAAACAAATTCCCTGTAGGTCTCAGGTTTATTATTCTCCAGACACCCCATTCTTCTCTCTATTCAATATAGTAAACGGGTGGAAGGCCCTCCAAATCCTTACATTAGGAGCTGTTCGAAAATCAGGACAGAAATGGGTATCGCTAATACATGCATATTTTTATACAGTACTTTGCTCATTCCTGATCCATGTATAAAAGGAAGCAGTAGATACTGAAGAACAAAAAGAAAACAAATTATTTCCTTCAAAAATTTTCCATAGTTTCTTAAGTTTATCAGGAAAAATGGCAACAATACCGTCGAAATATGGCTTTTAATAATTTTCCTCTAAAATGGTGGCACAAATATTAATACTGAATGCTTCATTTTTGTCTAATGTATGTATGTGTATATATATATTTGAAATATGGTAACTATATCAAATATATATGAATATATATTTGAAAGTGTATAGGCATAGAATACGATGAATCTGATCACTATTTGGCCTCCATTATACATTTTGTACCCTAGAGGGAAAAAACTTTAATCTTATAGTTTATGAATCTATAGCACATGAGAAACCAGGAAAAAATTAGATATGTTGCCTATTGTAAGTAGACTTTTGGAGTGTCAACCATATGTCTAGAAACAAATGGGAAAATAATTGATTTTATTGCACTTACCCTCTTTTTTTTTAATTTGATAAATTATTATTGATAAAAAGCAAGACACATTAAAACTAATACTTTTTATAATTATTTTAAAAATAAAACATCTTTAAATGTGCATTTTCATTCTGAAATAAAAAGGATATTTGCTTTTGGATGACAATGTATAACTTGACATGCACAAAAATTAAGACACTACAATAAATGACCTGATCTTTACTAAATTACCTTTTAAATAATGTTAAGTTGATTTAAAAAAAAAGTTAAAACCCATTAAAAGGACATTGCCACAAGTCCAACTTCAAAAGCCCATACAGTTCTTTGAAGGCTTTTAATCTGTCACCCCCAAGGCTCACTTTCTTTTTGGTGCACAGGGATGGGGGTGGGTGGAGTAGGAAGGATGCCAAAATCTAAAACAAAAATGAGGTTTGTGGTAACAAACCTGCAGATGAGCTAAGGTGTCCTATTATACAAAGAATCCAAACATAATGCAAAGTCAAAGAAATTATAATAGGTGAGAAATAAAAGGAGGTAAGAAAAAATCTGATGACAAATATTGATATGACTACAACATTTAAATCTACATCTAAAATAAATATTGTAAAAATCCAACAAAATATAGAAAAATATCTAAAAATCCAACAAAATACAATAATTTGGCTTAAAAATTCCTTTGGTTTTTAGATATATAATTATTTTGTGTTTTAAATAAATATACTAAAACATCACATTTGGGGGAACTTCATGATCACTCCAATTTGATATATATTTAATTGTTTCAGTAGTGAAGAATGGTGCTCAAATGGTTAACAAAGCCATATGCTGCTTTCTCTTGGGAAACTGGTTCTTAGTAAGTACCTTAAAATACTAGTACACTTTATCTTTATACAATGTTAGTAAAATTAAAGTATTTCCATGTCTAAGAATTATTCATTTCGCTGTTCTAATGATTGGATCCACTTCACATTTTAAAATGTAACTGAAGTCCACAGAAAATTTTTTCAATAAACATGTTATTCTAAACCATATTTAAAGTAACTAAAGATTTTAAGAATTCAACTATTAATCCAAATATGAAAAAAAATGGACCTACGATAGACAACGAAACCTGACAGAGACATTCAATGTCCAACTATTGCCATTTACCAACAGCTGGCTTTTCTATTAAGTTCAGTTTTCATTAAAACAAAAATTTAAGTACTCAACTGCATCCTTAAAAGACAACCAAATATTATACTGGAGTGTCAAAACATTTTTTTAAAATGTATTTTGAGATGGGATTTTGCTATGTTGCACAGATTGGCCTCAAACTCCTGGTTTCAAGTGGTCCTCCCCCTGGCCTCCTGAGTAGCTGGGACTATAGGTACACACCACTGTGTCTAGCTTGAAACAAATATTTTTATGATGTCCTTACTTTTCTTGGTGTTGTGGAAATTGTAAATCAATGAATGAGTAACACTTCTTTGTCTTTTCATGAATCATTTTTAAAGATGAATAATTTTTGACATATTTTAAAGGGAAAAAATATGGAGAAGGGTTTTTTTTTAAAGCCCTTTTAGTAATGTTCAGCACTTAAGACTATGAGCAAATTAAGTTGTTCAGACTCAATGATAGGCTGTTGTATTGCACCATATAAAACAAATTTCATCAAAGCCTACACTCTTACAGTATGCACAGCAATGCATCCATTTTTAAAAGGACACTTTTTTTATACAGATGAAGCAAAACAAATTTTGACTGGCTTATACACAAAGTAGGGAAAAGTTTCCAACAACACTGGTCAGTGGCACCTGCTCCTGGGTGGCTTTTATCTGTTTACTGGGCAAGAACTTTGTATTAGGTTTTCTTTGTCCTCTGCTCTAGTTCATGCTGGTGTTTAATAAGACGTTCTATTTCTGTTCCAAGTGTTTGTAGATTTTCCTTTAATAGTTAGGGGAAAAGAGAGAAAACAAAACTACTAAGTATAATAAATAAAAAGATTCAATTTGAACTATTTTTGCCTAAATTTTGAAACTGAAGGAGTGGTGATTAGTCCAAAAATGCTAAGTGAATTAGTGAATTGAATTAGATACACAGATGTTTTTAGTAAAGTAGACCTGTCCTTTTCAAAGTTATGATATTGGGGATTAAACCCAGGGCCTTGCACATGCTAGGCAAGTGCTCTATCCCTGAGCTACATCCCCTAGCCCACTTTTCTAAAATTTTATTTTGAGACGGAGTATCATTAAGTTGCCCAGGGTGGCCTTGAACTTATGACACCCTCCTCTCTCAACTTCCCAAGGAGCTGGAATTATAGGTGGTTTCATTATACTCAGCTCATATTTAACCTTTTTATCATAGCTATAGCAATTCAATACATAAAATGATTAATTATTAGATTTAAAATTTATTTTTAAAACCCATTACTAACTATCAAGGCCCATGTTCAACAAATAGATAATAGCTGCAGAAAATAAAAGAAAGCTGGAAAATATATTAGAAACTCCATAGTCTTAAAAAGTGTTTCAACAATGACCTGTAATAGCAATGTATATCAAAGGTCATCCATTGCAAAATATATAATTCATCCTACTATCCAATAACTAAACTGACTTAGTTTGAAAATTATGCTTTCAAAATAGAAAAACATTAAATTTTTATCTCTTGAGTAATAGAAACCTATCAGAATTAGCCCGTCTAAGTGCCAGATGAGACTAAGAAAGAGGCACCATTTTACTTATTGGTAAGTGAATGAGAAACACAAATACCTTCAAAGTAATATTTTTTAGTAATGTATCCTCCAAAACAGCCTGCAATTTTCGGTTGATTTCCAAAGACAGTTCCAGTGTTAATCCACTATCAGCAGGATGAGATGTATATAAAGATGCCATGATGCCACCTCGTCTACTTAAATGGACTTTGTTAAAATCAGAAGCCTCTGAAGAAAGTGTGCCTGATTCTTCTCGTAAAATGTAACTCTGAATTATTCTGCAAAACAAAATGACACTATCAATTGTGTACCTGAAGAATTAAAAATACTGGAATTTGTAAGAATCAGCTAAGCAGAAGCATAAAGAGGCCTAGCATAAAATAAATACCTATTAAACTAATAACCTAATACATTAGAAAAGAATTTTCCTTATTCAGATGGTTTCTTCAGCTATTTTACTTTTATTCTATCATGATTAATGATATATACACTGCTTTTTAAATTCCTTTCCTTATTTACATAAAACATTTAAGCAACTATTTTATTGCTCTGATTTCTATTAATATTGTTTTCCTATTTTTAAACTTTTTTAAAAAGTAATAGGCAAACTTTTAGTAACATGTTTAAAATTAAAATTAAAATGGCTTAGGAAAAGACCTGCAATATAAGAGCAACATCTCTTGTTTAAATGAGTACAGTATCAGTGAGAGGAATATGGCATAGGACAGGCTCTGGAGTCATTCAGAGCTGGGTCTGAATCTCTAGCTCAATGTCTGTCCCTCACAAGAGGATAATCCTGACAGATAAGAGTGATTTTACCTAGGCCCCAGTTAACTTATCTACAAAATCAGAGAACTCACTCTCACTCAGTGGCTGTAGGTAATCAGTAAGATAAATGCTAACAGGCATAGTACAAGGAATTACCTAATTATATTTTGCTCAACAGGAAAAAAAAATATCTAAAACTTCATGTGTCTCTTAGAGTCATTAACATGAAAATAAAAAGCCAAGTAGCACACTACTGAACTCTATGTCTTCTTCAAGGGTCTTATGCATGCTAGGCAAGCACTCTACCACTGAGCAATACTCTCAGCCCTAGATCTATGTTTTCTTTCATTTTTGTATTCCCCAAACCTAGAATACAGTAGGTGATCATAAAATATTTGGAACCGAATGATTATAAGAATTATTAAGCTGGATATGGTGGCACACACCTGTAGTACCAACTACTTGAGAGGCTGAGAAGCAGGGATGCTTGAGCCCAGGAGTTTGAGACCAGCCTGAGCAAGATGTGAGACCCTTTCTCAAATTAAATAAATAAATATTTTTTGAAAGACAGAATTCTTGATATGATTGATTTTTGAAAAGAGTGCTTTTACCATGAGAAGTATAGACTCGGAACAGATAGTGCTACCATAATAATACATACTTTGTTTTTTTCCTAATTTCTTCCACCAATTGTTTGATGTGGTCTTCCATAAATTCTATCTTTTCATTTTTCCGGGCATGTGCTTTCTGCAACCTAACTATCCTCTCAATCAGCATGGCCTTGTCCAATTCTGGAAAGTTATCCACAGCTACTGATGACCCAGTGTTTTCTGGAGATCGATCTTCTGCACTGCTCCGAGCATTAAGGGACCCTAAATGATATGCACACATACAAAAAAAAAAAATCAGTTTAGATATTATTTGTAGTCTAGCATGCTAGACTCTCATCTCATGTATCGTTTATTTTGGTATCATTTTCAAATATTCACCCTAACATAGCTGGATGTAGAACATATCATAGGTTATTGGCTAACCAACTTCTTGTGTCTGAGTATACTGGCAATAAAATAGCAAAGCGTCCATCTATTATGTCTCTCAAGAACAGGATGTGAAAGTAGCAACAGAGAAACAAAAGATCTAAGAGAAAGAATAACAATTATAAGTCAGACCAAAATTAAAGTAAAAGAGAACAGAAAACAAAAAACAACAAAAAACAGTGGGGGGCAGAATGTAGGATATAGGAGAGGAGAAGGAGGACAGAATATAGTGGATTATGTTCCAGAGCCAATCTATCCAGGTTCAAATCCTACTTTTCCAATTATTAGTTGTGTGACTTTGGACAAATTATTTAAAACTCACAGTGCCTTGGCTACTTCATGTCAAAATGGCATTAGTAATATTATTTACCGTTCATAAGATTATTAATATATTTATCTCATTTAGATGAGTTAATATATGTGAAGCACTCAGAACAGCGCATTATAGTAAGCACGATGGTTAGCTCTTCCTTTTTACCAATACCAATGAAATGAATTTTTGGTCCTCTTTACCCTATAAAAATCTGTTTCTCAACCCCACTGTATAGATTTAAGATAAGTAATGTATCTTATCTAAAATTATATAATACATTGCAGAAACTGGGTGTGATAGCACATGCCTGTAATCTCAACATCTCAGGAAGCTGAGACAGGAGAATTGCAAGTTTGAGGTCAACCTCAGCAACTTCATAGTGAGAGAATAGAACAGAATATAAATAAAATATAAATAAAAAATGGCAGAGGTGGGATATAAACATGCAACAATAATTTCAAATTCACATTCTTTCTACTACACATTTTTTCCACTATTGTAATAGCTGATAATATTTTGCCCCTCTAATGTGCAATTCCTAGGAGACAGTATAATGTAGAAGTTATAATAGAGAGACAGAGAGAGAATCCCAAATTTTATTACAAAATAATTATATAAAACTTCAATATTTTGTTTCAAAAGGAAACAAAGCATATCAATATTTTTAAGACCCAAATGCTATTTATTTTTATATTCAATTACTAAATAACAACTAAAACCATTGTTTTGTTTTGTTTTTTTTACCTGATGAACTAGAACGACTCCCCATGCTGCTAACTTCTTTATCGTAGCTTCCATTCTCAACCTGATCTAATTTTCTTCGTGCTATAGGAAAAATAAGTGGATTACTTACAATAATCATCATGACCGTCCCATCCATCCCTGATTTTAGTTGCTAAATTCATTTAGTAAAAAATGGCATAGACTATAATAATAATAATAAGACAAAGTTCTTGAATACCTACCTTAGAAAGCTGTAGATGTCATTCATATAAAATGACATTTGGAATTGTACAGGTCAAATACAAAATATACAAAAATGACATTATGATAACTGACACTGGCATCATTTACTTGTACTGAACTTAACTTTTCAGAGTCCTGACAAAAGCTAAGATTGTGGTTCAGAGCACTTTCCTAGCATGTGTGAGGCACTGGGTTAGAGCCTCAGCACCACATTAAAAATAAAAAAAATAAAAGAAAGGTATTGTGTCCATCTACAACTTTAAATAGATAGATAGATAGATAGATAGAAGTCCTGACAGATTTAGAGGATCCTACCAGAAATTTCCCTTCAATTATAAGTATAAAAACAACTGAATTCTTATAGCAAATAACTGAACATATTCATGTTAAGTAATACATTTCACCCTATTTGAAAATAAATAAAGTTGTGGAAAATGGTAAGAGAATAGCTAGTTGGAATACTTGTCTTATTCATCTTTGTCCAAGCACATAGTACAGATACCCAATAACCTCTATGCATTTTAAATTAAAGAAATCTGGGTTTTAATTCTAGTTGATCATTGTTGTGTTCAGGTAATTTATAACCTTTCCAGGTCTGTTTCCTGAGACCCAGATGCAGAGCTAGGTCTCAACCATCTCTAAGTTAGAGACAAGATGTAGATCCAGGTACCCTAAATGCAGTACAGATCAATTCATAGGCATATGTAGGTAGAAAATATTACAATTTTTATTTACGCTTAAAGATAAATCTTTTCAAATTTCTATTTTTATCTAACACATCTAAAATGCATAAATAAACACATAAATTGGAGAAAACCAAATATTTTTTACTGATAAAAAAGTATGTAATCAAAAAAGTTTAGACACTCTTGCCCTAAGGTAATACCTACCACAATTCTTACATTCTGTGGCTCTGTGAATAAATATCCTTTAGTATAGAAGACAGGCAGTTCATAGAACTGCAAGGTTAGCAATTTATCTATGAAAATTAATATGTTAAAAGGAATAAATAGCTCCAGTAAATGTAGTAGAACCTGAAATATATTTTTTCTACAAAATCTTTAATGATTAAAAGAAACAAATATATTCAAGGTCTAAATGAGGAAGAATTTTATACCTTGCTGAAGTTGCTTGGTAAGATCCTTGACATTAGAGGCATGTTTACGTCTTTGAGTTACTAACTCATCTTTCAGTTCTTCTACCTGGGTACTCAATGCTTTAACTTCTGTTTGTTTACACATAAGGTCAGCTTGCAGAGTCTGGACTTCCTCTTTTCGAAGTTCTTCCTCTTTTAACAATCTACTTTCCTGAATATTAAGTAAGATAAAATGAAAAAAAATTTAAATCATATATTTATTTCTATTATTGCTCAAATGACAACCTTAAAAATATATGGTCCCTGAGAGACAGTCTTCTATAGCTCCTCCTTACAAGGTTTTATTTATTGAGCTCCTCCAAATTCTCATATAGTGAGGCAAAGGGATACACTAAATGAGTGTGTTGTTCTGCACATGCAAAACTACCTGTGACACAGGTCTTCGAATTTTTGCAATTTCAAAAACTCAAACTATTCTTTTATATTTATTATTTATTTTTTTTTAGGTGGACACAATATCTTTATTTTTTATTTTTTTTTATGTGGTGTTGAGGATAGAACCCAGGGCCTCGCGCATGTTAGGCAGGCGCTTTACTGCTGAGCCACAATCCCAGCACAAACTCAAACTATTTTTATGAGTAATTTGAAGACATTCTAATAACTTGGAAATATTAAACCACTTTGAAACTATTTTTTAAAATAAATGTAAAGTATTACCTTTAAAAAAATATATAATGATTCTAGTTAAGAATGACAGAAACCATGGCTTTCTTATTTTCAAAAGTGAAACATTCTTCTTTATTATTTTAGGGAGAAAATTTATTACAAATCACGTCAGTTGAAAGGAAAAAAACCAACATTTTTTAAAATATGTATTTTTTTAGTTGTAGATGGACATAATACCTTTATTTTATGTGGTGCTGAAGATCAAAGCCAGTGCCTCACAGATGCTAGGCAAGTGCTCTGTCACTGAGCTACAGTTACAGCCCGCAACATTTTTTTTTTAAAGCATTTGAAATTACCAGAAAGTCAGTGCCAATAGAAAAGTGCTTAAATTAACTACTACTACATTTTTATGCTGTGGGGAAATTTTAATCTGTGTTTCTTGTTAGTTGTTTCAAGAGTTAAATATATATATTTATACTTACCAAATTAGTATTTGTCTGTCTCATTTGTTCACATTGGTTTTGCAACTGACTTTCACTACAGGAAAGTTTATCATATTGTGACTGCAAGGAATTGCACTCAGATTGAAGCTGTGCATTCTTACTAGTGAGCTTTTCTGTGAACAGCAGTAGCTCAGATTCTCTTTTCCTACTTCCTTCGATGTCTTTTTGTAGGTCATTAATCAAAGAATTAAGACTTTCCATTTCTTCCTTCAAATTTTCAATTTCTTGCTTACCTCTAAAAAACAAAGTTTATATTTCAGAAAATATGAGACTATTAAGGGACATTAAACTAATGGTTTGGGGAATTTTAAAATTTCATTAAAATTTTCAATTTAAATGCAATGCTTTATAAAGAGACTTTTATTCATTCATCCAAATATTTATGAATGAATAAAATAATAGGAACTAAGGACTGAGAGTATAAATGAGCAGGGCCTACATGCTCCTGCTTTCAAAGAACTTTTAATCAAGAAGGGAAATTACACGAGTGTGATAGCTGTTTCTGATGAAAACCCGGCAAGTTGCCTAACTTCATATAAGTGATGCTCAAACTAATACTTAAAGTAGCATTTACTGTCTGCAAAGGTCCAGTCAGTAGATAAGCTGGGCGTCTTGGCATATGGATTTTGTTGCAATCGTTCCACTTTGCCACTGTAGATGAAAATAGCCAGAGACAATATGTACAAAAATGAGTGTGGCTAGATGCCCAGAAAACTGCACTTACAAAAAGAGGTGGTGGGCTAGATTTGGCTTATGGGCCATAATTTGTTATCCTTCAAAAAGAAAAAGAAAAAAAGGAAAAAAGAAAAGCAGAAGTTTGTGGGAAAAATTCAAAATAAGTTCTAGGAAGAGGAATGAATATGTGCTAAAGCTGGAAAGGGAAAAGGAGAAGGGTTTCTGGTTGGTACCAATAGGTATTCAGCACTGATGATAATCAGGACTTCACTACATCCTTAGCACTTGACAAGGTCTTGACAGGCCTTAAAAATCCGTTAACAAACTACAGCTGAAATATAAGAGTGAAAAAGAGGAAGGCACGAAGAAGCAAGGAACAGGTCACTAATCTCACAAGCCATGCTAAGGCATTTGAACTTCCTAGGCAATCTTTGAGGCAATGGGAAATCACTGAAAGGTTTTGAGAAAATGTTCTTTTTAAAAAGTTTATGCTAATAACAGTGTAGGAAATGTCCTGGAGAAAAAGTAAACAGAAAAATCAGTTTATGAGCTATGGCAGTTTTCCAGATGGGAGCTGACAATGGCTTGGATGATGGAGGTAAGAGAGGGAATATAAAAAAGTAAACGGACTTGAATGATATTAAACACTGGACACATCACTAATACTTTGGGACTGGCTAGGTATGTGAGAGGAGGGAAGGAAGAGCCAAGCATGACCCCCAGGTTTCTGGGTTAGACAGTCATTTGGGTGCTATACTCATCACTTATCCCAGAACATGAAAGAAGAAGCATATTCGTGGACAGAAGAAAGGACTCAATTTTGGATATATTAAAGTTTAAGGTGTTTTTGGTACTTATGTGCCTAAAGCTAAGCAAAAAGAGCTGACAATAATGATTCAAAGAATCTGATGCACATTAGAGGAACAATTAGGATCACTCAGGGAATGACAAAATTTGAACACAAGAGGGTTTTCTGACAGAAAGAAAAGCCTGATAAAGAGACTAAGAAAGCGTGGCCCAGAAGGCAGGAACACCCAAAACGCATGATAAAAACAGAGCCAAAGGAACAGAGCATTTCAAGAAAGGTAAGTTTAACACTGTTAAAAGATCCTAAAAATTCAAGCAAAGCTGGGTCTGAGCTATATCCACCATAGTTAAGGGGATATTAAATTTTATGGAATGCTGAGATCAAAGTTAGAATAGAAAGAAACCCAACAAAGGAAGTAAAGAACTGGGGAATGAGTACAGCTAATTTTTTAAAAAAGTAATTACTTTATTTTTTATTCTAATTTGTTTTATATGATAGCATAATGCATTACAATTCATATTGTACAAATAGAACACAATTTTTCATATCTCTGGTTGTACAGAGTCACACCATTCGTGTCTTCATACATGTACTTAAGTATTGATGTCCATCTCATTCCACCATCTTTCCTACCCCCATGCCCCCTCCCTTCCCCTCCTACCCCTCTGTCCTTTCTATTGTTTGTCTAATCCTCCCACACTCCCTCTCCAACCCCACTATAAATCAGCTCCTTATATCATCTCGGGAGCAAATTTTTACCACTTGCACATAAGATAGAGCACTAATCTGTAGGGTATATAAAGAACTCAAAAAGCTAAACACCATGAGGACAGGCTGGGGTTGTGGCTCAGCAGTAGAGCGCTTGCCTAGCATGCATCGGGCACTGGGTTTGATCCTCAGCACCACATAACAATAAAATAAAGGTACTGTGTCTAACTACAACTAAAAAAAATTTTTTTTTTTTTAAGAAAAGCTAAACACCAAACAAAACCCCCAAATAACCCAATCAATAAATGGGCTAAGGAACTGAACAGACACTTCTCAGAAGATGATATACAATCAATCAACAAATATATGAAAAAATGTGGAGACTTGGCGGGGAGTGAGGGAGTGAAGGAGGGGAAGGAATGGGGCGGGGAGGCGGGGAGGGGAGGAGGAGGGCGAGCGCAGCGCCGCCACCGCCGGCAACTTTGTGAATGAGTTCAGTGCGTGCGTGAGCGAGTGAGCGAAAAGGAGAGCGCGCGGCGAACGCGCCCGGACGCGCGGCTGCACCCCGAGGCGGGCAGAGCGGTGAAATTTCATATTTGGCTTTCCAGTACTGACCATAACCTAATTTCCAAGATTTTTATAAAGGTAGACTCAAAAGGACTATACTTTCAGAATGCCATCCAGAGAGTAATGGAGAGAACATGGCGGCGAGAGGGGAGGCAGCGCTTTCAGTACCTCCTCAACTACGGGGTCAGAGAGACGCATGGATACGCTTAGATTCGACCTGCTGAGAAACTCCTAGCAAAATTCCACTAAAGAGAGATCGGCCGGGAATCGGTAGGATTTTTGGAGGTGACAGTCTGCGCTAGACGAGTGAATCTCCGCCACGCAGCGCAGAGGTCCAGACCCGCCAGCTGCTGCCTGCGCGACTCAGCGACTGTCGGCTGCCTGCACGCGGCCCCTGCGCGTCAGGGCAGATAGCCTCCGAGGCGCAGCGCAGCAGGAGCCGTGCAGGGACTCTAGGAAGAGGTCTCTCGCCAAGCCTTCATGAAATAGCAAACCAGGAGCTGAAACCAACCAGAGACAGACCAGTCCCACCCCTCCCTTCGGACACTCCGGCAAGGAGCCTGGGGCCCTCCATAGCAGAGTGGTGACATCACCAGAGTTCCCCTGACAGAATTCCTTCCCAGCGGAATCCACATTAGCAGGTGTGTGACTCCCACCCCCTCCAGATACAAGCAGCCAGGAAACCACCGGGGGCGTGTCTGTAGGGAAGCAGAGGGGATTCCAGATCCCCACCTCCCCTTAACACCAGCGGCGACACCCAAGATCTTAGCTGCTAGTTTCTGGGGGCGTGCCCACCAAAGGGGTCCGGAAAAATTAAACTGTTGGTTCCCAGATCACCCCACCACAGCACTGGGGCTTAGATGAATGACAGAGAGGGTGTTCATCCTTCGGGATATAGGACACGCGGTGGGGCTGCAAGTGTAATCAGATCCTTGGGGAACCGCCTCTGGTGAACAGGACCTGGCTGGCTGGCTGGGAGGAGGAACAGGGGGAGGGGCCGGATAAGTGAAAGGGCTCTGGACTAACAGGATTGAGAGACTCCCAGGAGCCACCTTACAGGGATTTCTGTCAGCACATAGAGGGCAAAAGCTCGGCGCAGAGGGCACAGCTCCGCCTATTGGAAGAGAAGAAAATGGGATTCAGCCATTGAACAGGGGATGCCAGCATGGCAGAGATCTGATGTCATCGGAGAGCGGCCGAGGAGAAAACTTCATAGGTGCCAGCGGCGACGGAAACAGTTGGTCCCCTGGTAGGGAGGGTGAGTCACAGATACCCGAGTCTCTCTCGCTTTGTCCTCGAGCCAGAGGGGAGGAGCGGGGCCGCCGCCCGCGCCCGCAAGGTAGGCAGACCTGCGACCAACCTGCAGATCAGGCCCAGCGGTCTGCAGGCGTGGTAGGAGGGGCAGGGCAGAGCCACCGCCCGCGCCGGCAAGGTAAGCAGACCTGCCACAGACCAGCGGATCAGGCCCAGCGGCCTGCCAGCGTGGTACACACTTCACCCCAACTGGAGTAGGGGCAGAGCAGAGCCTTCGCCCGCACCCAGATCAGGCCCAACGGCCCGCCTGTGTGGTGGTCAAGTGACCCCAATTGGAGTGGGGGCGGAGCGGAACTGACACCCGTGCCCGCAAGGTGGGCAGACCTGCGACCAACCTGCAGATCAGGCCTAGTGGTCCCCGGGCGTGGTAGGAGAGGCAGGGCAGAGCCTTCGCCCCACCTGCAAGGTAGGCAGACCTGCGACAGAACGGCGGATCAGGCCCAGGGGTCCGCGGGCGTGGTAGACACCTCACACCAATTGGAGGAGGGGCAGAGCAGAGCCCCCGCCCGCACCTGCAAGGGAGACTTTTCAACTATACAAGAGCAATATAAATATATAGGGGGGGAAAAATTTCAAAAAAACAACAGTTTCACCAAGAAGAAAGAAACGCAAGCAGTATGAAAAGACAAGGAAAGAAAGGACTACAAGCAATGCAGGTCAGCTCAACTTTAGAAGAGGTAACAGCTGCAGCAGATGGAATGTCAGATAAAGAATTCAGGATATATATGCTTCAGATGATCTGGAGTATCAAGGAAGAAATTAGACAGCAAAATCAGACAATGAAAGATCACTTCGACAAGGAATTACACAAACAAATCCAGGAAGCAAAGGATCAACTATACAGGGAGATAGAGGTTATAAAAAACAAACAAACAGAAATCCTAGAAATGCAGGAAGCAATAAACCAACTTAAAAACTCAATTGAGAGTACTACCAGCAGAGTAGAACACTTAGAAGATAGAACATCAGACAATGAAGACAAAGTATTTCAAATGGAAAAGAACATAGACAGCTCAGCAAGACTGTTAAGAAACCATGAGCAGAACATCCAAGAAATATGGGATAACATTAAGAGACCAAACTTAAGAGTCATTGGGATACAGGAAGGTATAGAACTCCATACCAAAGGAATGAGCAATTTATTCAATGAAATAATACGAGAA